CCACTGTGTGTGCTATACTTGTTATAGCAACATTTTTTCTACTTCTTTCAATCTCAATACAAGTGAAGTATATTTAATTTGTTTTTACGCGGATGTAGAATTAATTAGATTTGAAGAAGCAGTATAGATTGGGAAGTGGCAAGCAGCCATGGATGAAGAAATAAAAGCAATTGAGCAAAATTGAACTTGAGAGCAATAATTGAGAAAAAATGGCAAGCAACCATGAATGAAGAAATAAAAGCAATTGAGCGAAATTAAACTTGGGAGCAATAAATGAGAAAAAGTGGCAAGCAGCCATGTATGAAGATATAAAAGCAATTGAACGAAACCAAACTTGGGAGTAATAAATGAGAAGGAGTGACAAGCAGCCATGGATGAAGAAATAAAAACAATTGAGCAAAACCAAACTTGGGAGCAATAAATGAGAAGTGACAAATAGTCATGGATGAAGAAATAAAAGCAATTGTGCAAAATTGAACTTGGAAGCAAGAAATGAGAAGTGGCAAACAGTCATGGATGAAGAAATAAAAACAATTGAGCAAAACCGAACTTGGGATCTGTATGAAGTGCGAAAAAAGAAGTCAACCCATAAGAGTAAAATGATTATACAAATAGAAAATGATGCTACTGGTGAGAGAGTACAAGACAAGACTAATTGCAAAGGACTATCGACAAAAAATGGAGATAGAATATGATGAAGTCTTTGTTCTGGTTACAAGAATGAAGACGATTCACATTTTCATTGCTCAGTCAACTCATTTCAAATGAATTTTTTTTCAAATGTATGTCAAGTCAACATTTTTGATTGGTGTGCTAGAAGAAAAGATGTATGATGAGCAACCATCCGGTTACATGAAAATTTGATAAGAAAAGAAGGTGTTGAAATGGAAGAAGTCACTTTGTGAACTAAAGCAAACATTCCGAGCTTGGAATATTCATATCAACACTTACTTTAAGAAGGATGTCTTTACTCAATGCACATACAAACATGCATTGTATGTGAAGAAAAAAAAATTAACTTCTTTGTAACTCTTTATGTTGATGATATTATATTCATGGGGAATAATGAGAAGATGATAAAAGATTTAAAGTAGTCTATAACCCGTAAGTTCAAAATGACAGACTTGGACTTGATGAAGTATATCCTTGGTCTGGAGGTTAGACAAGAAAATACTATGATCTTTATGTAACAAAAAACATATGCACTAAAATTCTAAAAAGAAAAAAGTGGAGTATTGCAAGCTGATAATAACATCAATGGAACGTGGAGCAAAATTTTTTAAGTTTGATGGTGACCAACGAGTAGATTTTTGACCAAATATCAAAATCTATTTAGGAGTCTTTGTTATTTCACATGCACAAGGTTGGATATTTCTTATACTGTTGGAGTTGTAAGTCGGTTCATGGAGTAGCCAGTCTACACGCATTTGAAAGCACTATGGAGAATTTTGATATATATATATTTGAAGAACCAAATCCCTTGAGTTATTCTACTCAAGAGTTAAAGATTTCAAGCTTGTGAGATAATCCAATATCGTTTGGTTTGATGATGTAGATTATTGCAAGAGTACATTAGGATGCAATTTTTTGGGGGAAAACATGACATTCACTTGGCTGTCGAATAAACAACCAATTGTGTCACTCTCTACTTGCAAAGCATAGTATGTGGTAGCAAGAGATTGCATGTGTCATGTGATTTGGTAGAAAAGATTGCTGAGGGATTTAAAATTTAAATGAAGAGAATTCCACACAAATTTACTTAGACAATAGATCAGCGATTGATTTGACAAAGAATTCACTCTACCATGAAAGTAATAAATATATTGACATGAAGTTTCATTTCATATGAGAGCATGTGAAGGAAAAGTAGATATAATTGGTGCATGTGAAAAGTGAAGACCAAGCAGATGACATCTTTACAAAGCAACTGTTCACAAGACTATTTGAGAAAATGAATAATCTACGCGGCATGAAAGAACAATTAAGCACAAAAGACAATTAAGTTTAAGGAGGTATGTTGACAAATAAACTTAATTGTCATCAAGTTTGTGACATCACAATGGAAAAATTTAAGGCTGTTTTAATTGATGATTTTAAAAGTACAATTATAGATCATTATGTGCAATCAAGGAGTCTAGTTTTCTAGTGGTTTAAATCTCAAGTCGTTTGAAGTTTTCTATTACAACTATTGGAAGTCTTAATACTCAAGGATCAAAACTAATTGTTGTTGTTTTTTGAACTTAGATTTATGTTGTATATAGATTTCAAGTGTGTTAGTAGTCTATAAATAGAGTTGTGTTCGTTTGTAAGAAAGTTAGAAGAGAGTAGTGAGAAAGATAATTTGAATAATAAATGAGTTTGTCTCTTCATTCCATCAAAATATGTATCTTAGTTATCAAAGTCAACTTTGTATAGAAATCTAAATGAATTCAAGTCAGGCAAATCAAGTGACAAAATCAAGACATCATTTGTTGTATTTTTTGCTGTACGGCTTAAAAGCCAAAAACAAGTCCTTATCAAATAAAAAAATTCAGATTTTATTTAGTTTGAAGCACATATTGAAATCATAGAGTCACTTTAATTCTTCAAGCCAACTACACACTTTTCATCTGAATTACATCCAAGAATATGATACTTGATACAAACTGGGATCGATTCCAGAGCCAATGTAGAAAAAAACATATGCTTCATTATCTTGATTTGTTTAAAGCTACAAAAAATTCAACCATATCTCCAATAACATCAATTTCTTGCTTTTGAATACCATTGTACTTGATTGTGCTTGTGTGTCTCGTTTATTAGATACTTCATCAAAGAAGCATTTATTTATCTTTGTATCAAGAGAAAAGCTCGTACTTCATGCTTAATAAATATATTTTATAAAAAAATTTGTTATCAATTATATTCAAATATTTTTAAATCAAAATTATAAATCCACTATAATAAGATAATTAATTTTGTTGTATTTTCATTGTGATTGTTTTTTTTGAGTTTATACTTTTGATTACTACAATAAACTTAATACTAAATGTTGATATGATTGTAGATAAAATTTTTATTCATCATTTTAGCAACCAAATTTGTTTACAAATTTTTTTATAAATAATTTTTATAAGTTATCAATCTTTGAAGCAGATTTTATATAAATTTTCAAATTTATTTTCCTATGTTGTCTTATATATCTTATATACAGTATAATTTGGTTAATCCACAACATTAATATATTTTACTTGCATTCATATTATTGTTGACGTGTCGATCATCGATGTTTTATATGATATAATTGAATCAATAATCTTTTAATGTGTGATATAATAATGTTGATAGATGTATTAGTATTATTATCGATTTCAAATGGATGCATAAACTTGATAGCCATGATGAGAAAATCAAATTTGCATTTTACAAGAAAACTAAGCATGTTTGGTAGTTTTATCATCTTTCAAATTTGAGATTTTATTATCTTTTCTTTATGTTATCTTTTCAAGATGATATGAATATAAATCTGAAATCATATTCTCTTGAAAGATTGTAAGTCCATACATTATATATTTTATTTATATAAAAATACAGTATGAATTATTCGTATGCTCATTGATATAACAAACATGTATAATTTATTTGGATGAACTAGAGATATCAATGCTACATTTGTTTAATATTTATGTATGAGAATTTGTATGAGTGTTGAATTAATTTATATGTTGTATAAAATATGCATGCATATCATTTTTAATTTATTCATACAGAAAGTATTTTATAATCCTTCATGCATGTTCAATTTGAATTTACTTTTTTATCATTTTAAATTATATTTGATGATTATATATGTTATTTTCATCTATCCAACCACATCTTTATTTTGTTTTATATTTAGCATGAATATACAGGATTTGTTGTTCATTACAAGCGTTTTGTATAAAAAAATGTACTCATGAGATTGAATGTGATATTCACTATTGCAGAACCTATTATATCTTACACAATTGAAGGTGAAGGGAGGTAGAAAATGTTAATATATTTTGCATTCAGTTTGATTATACACATATTTATTGGGAAGTGATAAATAAATATGGAAAAAATCATAATTACATAAAATATAGTGATATACTATGTAAGAGTATCAATCTACGAGCAGAAACAATAAGAGTATCCAAATATAAGCTCATGTACCAAGCTACATACAGCTATTAACATGGAACTTGAAATGCTCTCAAGTCGGTGAATGTAGTATCTATGAGTGAATGACGTAGTAAATTATTTTCTTGTTGTCTATTGTACATTGTAAATAATAAAAGAGCATGATGATTTGTAACATGTAAATGTTTGGCATGTACAAGAATTGACTTTGATAGTTTAATAGTTGGGATATAGTATTATAATACACAACACGATTTATGTTATTCTACTTCGTTTTCCGTGAACTGCATGGCCAAAAACACTTCTTGCTACAATTCTCGGTGGCTCCAATGTGACATGAGATAAACCACTGGGCAAGGTGCAACGACAGCATCCGATCTCCGCCAAAGTTAGCGGCGGTTGATCGCCTCCACATTGACCACCAAAGCATGAGCGGGAGAGCGCAGGGAATGATGTTGCAAGGCCCGCATTGCCACGAGGTAGAAAGCAGAACGACGCCCGGAGCCAAGTGCCGAAGGAAATGCTGAAAGAAAGCGGAGGAGGGTTTTGGCCCCGGGACTCGTCCACCTTCGGTACTGTCACTTTGCGACTTGCATGCGTCTCGTATCGTAGCGTGTGCTGACGATCTGTCCGTCGGCCGCTCGACCTGCCATCCTCGCCCCGAATTGCGCTGTATTATCGTTCTTGGAGCACGGCGGGTGCAGGAAATGTGTGCGTTCTTTCCCGTCGCTCGACATCGGTCAGTTTTGTTAGGGTTTAACGCTCTGCATTTTTCTACGTAGGATGGATTTCTACTGAACTGCCATGCCATGCTGCCTTTAGATGGTGTATGAGGTGGTGCACTCCGAAGAGGTCTCGAGGAGGTGGATGGATAGTGTGCTGTTCGGTTCCAGGTTTTCTGCTCTGCTGTACATCGTTTCGTCACCTTCGCTACTGAGGCTGCGTTTGTTTGGTTAGGGTTTTGTGACTTCAACAGGAAAAGGTGGAGCGGGTGCTCAAGTTTCTGACCGGGTGCCAGTTTACTAAGCAAAGCTGCAATCATGTTTTGCGCTAGTACGTTCCTCCCATTGCTTTCACAAACGAAATTACGAGTTGTGATATTTTTAGCGAATGCTTACGAGGTTTCATGCCATTTCATGCGGTGGAGCTCTCAGCCTATGGGCCGTCCAAGACACTTAAACGTATTCTGAAAATATACTGTTGTTTTTGGTCCCACTGTAGTCTCAGGGGTAACTCCGGAGGAACCTGTGGTGTCAAGAAGGACTGGTCTTCTCTACGAGCGGAGGCTAATAGAAAAGCATCTTGCGGTAAGATACCAGACGGAAGAGTCAAAATATATATCTTCTAATGCGTTACACCGAAATTGGATAATAGACGGTATTGTAATTTCATGCTTGGAAGTAGAAGGAATCAGCTGATAGAGGGTTGACCGCGCGAGGAACCCCTTCTGGCTATCAAAGTGATCGACGTATGCGTTGTTAGGTTTCTCGTGGATTCTCTGAGTGTCGTCATTTGTTTACCCGTGAAGTCGAAGTGCTCATAGTTTTAGAAAACGCGAGTGTTTGGCCTTTGTCTTGAAACCTGGAGAGTGAATGGATAGGGGTCCGTTGTCTAGCTTTATGTGGATTGCTGATCACCTCTTAGCACTATGTAGAGGGATGGAACGAAATTGACAGTTTCGGTGTCGATCCCCACGAGTATTTCCTTCATTAGAAATTCCTACAATATTTTTCTGGCGAAAGAAGCGATTCTTCGAACGGATTTTCTGTGACTGGAGTCCAAAAGAATAAGCTTGCGGGACTCATTGCCAGACTTGTTGATTTCATCAGGAAAATGGGACTTGTCCAGTTACTGGGGAAAGTCTCCCAGCCGATGACCTTATTTCCGTGAAGACAAACAAGGTACGTGTTTGCTTTTCTATTCCGGTCTAGTTGCATATAGGTCAGGTGCTTGACTACATAAAACTCTGTGTGGGCATGGAGTAACTTTCTGCCGCGTTGCAGGCCGTCAAACCGAGGCCACTACAGGCGGCGAGTATACCTGGAATGCTCGGCCTCTTTCAAAATGTAAGTACTTACAAGGGCAATAAATTTCGTCGTTTCGTAGTCGTTAAGTAACACCATAGCTCCTTCGATGTCTTGGAATCCCCTGCGAACTTACGAACCCCAGACTATTTTCGTGAACTGTGCCAGGCCTTCTAATTACAGACACCAAAATGAAGTTGTATGGTACATTGTTGAGATAATATTGCAATCAATTACGAAATTCCGTTGCAACTGTCAGGGTCACCCGCTAGAGCTTGCAGAACCTAGAAGCGCATTGAAGATTTTGTCAGAGTATCAACAGCGCCTTTCGCACTCAAGTATATCACCAGAGATCAGTCAGATGGCAAACGTTGGGTATCCTTTCGAAATCGTCCGGGCTAGAAATCGCGAAGTCACTCAACTTGTTTGTCTGTTTGTTTGTTTCACTCGTATCACGTTTGCAGGAGTGGGACGCGTTGATGCTATCCAACTATGCACTCGAACAACAATTACATACTGCTCGTCAAGAATTGAGTCACGCGCTCTATCAGGTTTGAGTTGTGGCTTTCTTTGGTAGCTAGACCAGTTGTATAAGCCTTTTTCGTCTCTTGGTGTGGCCATTAGTTCACATCAAGGACATCCGTCAAATTTTGAAGAGGATGTCCTTCTTTCGTTTCGAATCCCCTTAATCGTGAGACGGTGACGTTTCTGCATTTTGGTTATCTGCAGCATGATGCAGCGTGCAGAGTGATTGCGCGACTGAAGAAGGAGAGGGATGAAGCCAGGCAAAGATTAGTACAGGCAGCGAGACAAGTACCCTCAACAGAATTGGCTACACCAACTGCCGCTTCTGCGAATGGCAAGAGAGGTTTTCACGAAGAACCTCCCCTTCACACATATTATCGGCTGTCAGATGTAGTCTTCGTTAAGAACAGTCCTCGTAGGCACCTCGCGTAGATCTATTTGTGGTGTAAACTACAACTGTTGCTGTCGTTTTCTCGTGTTGAGCGGAGTAAGGAAGAAGAATATGTTCTATTATGGCATTGAGGTCGAACTACGCGTGTAGCGTTGAGCTGTCCATTTTGTAACGAAAGTATAAAATGTCCTGCCAATCTACAGGCTAGATAAAATGCGATTGCACATCATATGTAGATCTCACAGCTTTACCATTGGCTAGATGAAGCTTGACAATGTATTCGAATTTCAAATCGTCTGCAGCACCAGAAGCTGAAGCTGAACCAGCTGCTCCGGGCAAGAAAGCAAGACAGGGCATTACCCCGGAAATTATTAAGGAGCTTACCGACTGCAATGCTCGTCTTTCAGGCCAACGTAAAAAGCGCCAGGTATTTCTTTCCCAAGCGTCGCGAGACCGTCTATGTACCGTCGTTGCAGTTTAATCTTACACACTTGCAATCTAGTACATCGAATTAGGAGAGACTAGTCACATGTCTTTTTATTTGCGCACATGTCCCCTTTGGGGGACATGTGCGTTTCAACTTCTATCCCAACGGAAAAGTCGGTTTTTTGAAAAGAAGATGGAAAGTTCGGAAAGAGTCAATGTTATAAAATTTCTGAATCGGTTTAGGAGAGAATGTCATGAAGGACTACGCTGACTCAGAGAAAGTCAATGTGCAGAATTCTCAAACACTTGCCACTGCCGAGGCTTTTGAGAAGTACACGCAAGTGGCCAGCCATCCACTTCATAAAACTGTGAAGCCGGGAATATGCTCCACCGACATTCATCCCACCAAGGTTGTTCTAACTTGTTTTGCCTAATTCAGATGGAAGCATATACATGGACGTTTCCTGTTCGCCCCCATTTGTGGCGGCGAAGGATAAATTTGGTTTGGTTTGTCGTTCTGAGGCGCTGTCTGATGCTTTTCCTACGTTGCAGGATTTCATTTTGACTGGTGGCGTTGACTCCACGGCAATCGTCTTCAACAAGGCCTCCGGGGAAATTGTATCGACCCTTGCAGGGCATAGCAAGCGGGTGAGTAAATTACTCGTCTTCCTTTGATTGGAAGCCTGTCTACGAGAAGAAGGTTACCAAAGAGGAGTGTTATTAACCTGGTTTGGTGAAGAAGCGTTCAATACCCATTGTTAACCTGTGCGGTTTTTGTAGGTGACCAGTGTAAAATTTGTGCCAAGTGATGAGCTTGTTCTCACTGGCTCTGCTGACAAGGTGAGCATGACCTACACATTAACTCCTCCAAAGAACTGGATTGCCTGTTTTGGTAAATGACAATACTGCTCAGTCAATGTCTGGGAATGACATAGGCTACTTGACGCTAATCTCGTTCTTTGTTTCGGATCCTGGATACGTTTAAGTTGAATTGTTATTACCGTGCTGAGCATTCGTTCACCGAAAGAAGGGTCTTGCCGTAATTGTGTCTTGAGGACTAGGAGAGATTTAAGAGATGGATGGGAGTACTATGGGAAACCGTATGATGCTTCCACTCTAGCGCAAGCAGGAGGTCCAGTTTCATGGTCGTATGTTACCTTGATAAAGTCTGTCTTACATGCCATTGATATCTGTGTGCCTGCTGCTGTGTGTGCTTGCTTAAGGTCAAGAAGATGGGTCCTATAACTGCAAGCACGTCTTGAAGGACCACTCCGCAGAGGTTCGTGAACCTGGGGCTTTATGGCGGGGTTACTATGGATTCTATGTCTTGCAAAGGACTAATTAGTTGCTCCCATCTCAACTGAGCTTTCTCATCTGTGGCCCTTGTCCACTTCTGAAGCTTTATGAGAGCGATTAAAGATTTGATTAAGGACGCTGATAGTTAGGTTATCGTAGTAAGGTGAATCATAGCTTTGATGACCAGTGCAAATTCCAGTTTGCTCTTTGGGAAACTGGGCCTAACTGAAGAAGAAATATAGGCACATTTGTTTGACGGTACCGTCAGGTCGAAGTTTAAAAGATAGATGGTGCTTGGATTATAAGGGTTTTCGAACTCTCGAGATTTTGCAAATTCATGTTTTTGCAAGATTTGTAGTTGTTGATTCATGTTATTGTGATGAGAGGTTATTAACATTTCCCGTCATCCCATTGTATCCACTAATCTTGATTTTAAATTTTTGGTGTGGATGTAGGTTAGAGCAGTAACTCTACACGCAACACACAACTACTTTGTCACCGCGTCACTCGACAAAACATGGGGCTTTTACGATCTCAGTACAGGTTTATGCTTGACTCAGGTTAGTCTTCCAATATAAAGGTTTTTGCTGAATAAAAATTTGTAGATTTTGCCGAATCAAAATTGTTTGATTCGGCAAAAGTGCTTCTGTCTTACCTCAACGGAGGGGTACGAGGCACCAGCTTCGTGTCCCTTTGTTGAGGAAGGATAGAAGCACGAAATAACATGTGTTGCAAATCCTTTATAAACGCCAAAGACGCATTGACCGCTAAGCTTATGGTTTTTTTCTCCACTTTTTCAGGCTTGACTCAGGTTAGTCTTCCAATATATAGGTTTTTGGTGAATAAAAATTGGTAGATTTTGCCGAATCAAATGATTTTGATTTTGCCGAATCAAAATTGTTTGATTCGGCAAAAGTGCTTCTGTCTTAACTCAACGGAGGGGCACGAGGCACCAGCTTCGTGTCCCTTTGTTGAGGAAGGATAGAAGCACGAAATAACATGTGTTGTAAATCCTTTATAAACGCCAAAGACGCATTGACCGCTAAGCTTATGGTTTTTTTCTCCACTTTTTCAGGTCAATGAAGCTACCGTGCAAGACGGATTCACATCTATTGTAGATGTATTGTTATCAGGTCATTCCTTCTTTGGTTTTCTGTCAACAGATTTATGAGATCTTGCATTGTTCATAAGTCAGCTCCCTATGTAGTGCTGTTCTCTTGATAATTGTGGGTGGGTTATCCGGTCTATGTATCATGTGTTGAAATTGATGCCTACAGCAGATAACTCGCCTCTTTATGTGGGTTTTGCGTTACATGATGCAAGGGAACCGGATTTCCGGAATCTGAATGAAACTTATAAGGATTCGTTAAGTTTGTTCACTTGGAGGCCGACTTCTTCTTCTTTTTTTGAATATCGGTCGAAATGTTGCCAAGTGATGCGCTTTCATCTGGATTCTGATGAAATGACCTTGCCTATGACTTTGCAGGGGGCGTGTGGTTCTTGCTGGGCTTTCAGTACCACCGGAGCAGTAGAAGGTTCTAACTTTATTGCCACAGGCAAGCTGATCAGTTTGAGTGAGCAGCAACTCGTCGACTGCGATCATGTGGTAGGGCCTTCCCGCCTTACTTTTTCCTTTTTGACAGACTTTCATACTTTGAAGTATTAGTATGTTTATACATTTGTTTAAGAATGTTGTAAATATTGTACAAGTTTGTCTGGTCTGACGTCCAAGTGTAAACGTTGTTAGGTTTTTTTTTTACTCCAGAAGTCGTGGGAATTACCTTTTTGCTTGCTGGATGTTTTGAATTGTGTTTCATCCGAATATTTTGGAATTGTGGCATAGCAGGAGGTCCAGTTTCATGGTCGTATGTTACCTTGATAAAGTCTGTCTTACATGCCATTGATATCTGTGTGCCTGCTTACAGACCGTGAAGCCTCTACATATTCTAACTTACGCTTTACTAATGTTGAATATCTCCTCGACTTGTAGTGTGACCCTGTAGACCCTCTATCTTGCGACTCTGGTTGCAATGGTGGACTGATGACAAACGCGTATGAGTATATCAAGCAAGCCGGAGGCTTGGAGAAAGAAGCAGATTACAAGTATACCGCCCAGGATGGCAAGTGCAAATTTTACTCTAACAAGCTCGTGGTGAAGGTTGCTAATTTCACCGAGGTTCCAGTCGATGAAGCGCAGATGGGCGCATATCTCGTGAATTACGGTTCTCTTGCCGGTAAGCAACCTCAATTTCTGTGTCCATATCACAATCAGGAATATGATATGTACTCTTGGTGGGTCTACAGAATAGTGAATTTTTGGTCTTCCCAATTAGAGAGTCCAGGTCTAGACTGCTGTTTGTGGATCTACTAATTTTTGGTTTGTTGTGCTTTTCCTGATAATAACCTTTCATGTGATTCAGCACTATGTGCATATTGAAGTATTTGCTATCTCAAATAACAGGATTGTTTGCTTTAACACCACAATGCTTGGAACGAGTTATTCTCTTTGCCAGATGTTACTAGGAAGCGTGCTTGTACGCCAATTATGCAATTAGCACAAAGTATTTGCCACAGTGGTGACTTTACTGAGAATCACTTTCTGATTCTTACACTAAACGCCTTTCTGTTGCTGTTTCCAGTGGGCATCAATGCCGCATTCATGCAAACCTTCATTGGAGGAGTATCGTGCCCTCTTATATGCAGCAAGAGGAACATCGATCACGGAGTATTGATTGTTGGTTATGGAGCCCGTGGCTTCACACCAGTGCGTCTGAGCTACAAGCCGTATTGGATCATCAAGAATTCCTGGGGAAAATCCTGGGGAGAGGAAGGTTATTACAAACTTTGCCGCGGTTATGGCGAGTGCTGTATTAGCACCATGGTTTCCTCCGTGGCAGCTATCGCCGTGATCGATACATAAGTGGCTCAAACCCTGCGTTCACACCTCGTTGCCTCAGCGCTGTAGGAACGAAGAAAGTTGTCAATATACTTCGCAGATACAGGGGACAGCAGTAAACGTTGGAGGTACAAGGTAATGGTTACACAATCTTGTAAATAGCGGTAGTATATTATCTGCTTCCCGATGAGCAGTTCAGCAAAACATCTGGATGTAAAAGTTTAAATCTGTATTTTTTCTGTTGACTTTGGTAAAATGTGTGAATATGTTTGTGAATTGTTATAGCCTTGAAAGGCTTGTCTCATTGGAATGTGGATAGCGACTCAAAGTTAAGGAAATGTAAAGGGATCTTGAAGGGAAATATTATTGAAGCGAAATTGGAATTGCCTGAAGTGTTTATACTGGATTGTAGCATATTCTCGACCGAACACTTTGCTTCATGCCAATCCATTTTTACTGCCTTGGTCAGACAATGATGCGATCAGTGCAATCTTCTTGCCTGATCATTTCTCTCCTACGCTCTGTGCAGCGTCTCTTCTCTCATCAGGTCTTACCTTCATATAAGGTTTTCATGGGGTTCTTTCCTGAATAAATAGGCTTATCAAACCCCGTAGGAGACACATCAAGTGATACTTGCATGGAGCCTTATGACTTTGCCTAGGTGTTTTGTCTTATCACACAATTCAGCATCTTGCGAGGAAGTACGTCGTTTGAACATGAAGTAAACTTCTCTTGCAAATGTCCAATCGGACCATTTAAATCTAAACACATCTGAACTGAATAGATTGGTCAAACGAAGAAATGTTATGAGAAAAAGTGTCTTGGAGAAGAGGATTATAAACCAACCGTCTGTTGTCACCAAACCGTTGAAAATGACTTGTCAAATGTGAAGTAATAAACTAGTCATGATACAAGTATGGTCAATTTATTTTGTGAATACTAGAGGATTGTTTTGAGAGCATCGGCCGATGAAACCGTGTGTAAACACTGTAAACGGCAGAAAATTTAAGCAAAAAGTTGGCCGAATTTGCAGAAATATAAGCAGAATCCACACCGTCAGATTTATGACTGGAATTAATAGTATTTCCGATGTCTGACGTCAAGCCATCGTGAAAACGTGGTCTACAATTGAAGTACATTTACAACCACCATCATATCTTTTCATCTCAAATTTACCGAAAGACTTTAAACTTCATCTTATCGCACCAGTCAAATAGCCGAGTATCGACGTGAGTAGATCATTCTCAAGCCAAACCGATCGACAAGCCTAATAAACGATACGTACAAAGCATGAAAAGCTCTAATGTCGTCACCAGCGAGTTAGCAAACACGTCACCCCGGGCGAAAACCTAGCGAGAAAATTTTGCACTGAAAATTAAACACTCGTCCCAGACTGTTGAAGTAAGCTCTACCTCGGGTACCGGCAACATTTCTGGCACGTCGGCCTGAATGAAAATTCGGTGTCCACACGATTTTAAAGTTCTTTTACATAATAGTTATAATTTGACAAGTCGAGAAACTGAAATGAAAGATAAAAAGATTAATAAAATCTAGAAACCACAAATTGAAGATGACTGGATAATACTTTCAATCTATCTATATTTTGATGCACTCAACGATATATTTTGTACTCAATTTTGCATATTGAGTATAACATGATTTTCAACATTTGGGTATAGGTCACGTCTATACTAGAATAATTTTGACAATTAAAAGTCCGATTAAACTAATTATTATTAAGATTACAATTGTTTTAACCGAAAATTAAAATTGTTCTACCCAGTCAAGTCTACTTTCTCTTACCCACCGCATGTCCGACCGGCTGTGACCGGGAATGCCAGTCAGGCTGATACTCGTATTGTCGAGTCGGTAACTCCAAAACTGTGGCGGTGTAGAGCGAGTTAGGGTTCGAGGACGCGGGGTCTTGTTAGTAGTGTACGTAGGCCATCGATAAAATTCGCCTAATTTTATCGATGGCCCAATTTCGACATTTGGACGAGGGCATGTCCGCCTGAGCGTCTCCGAGTCCGGACTGGTTGAATTGGCAGCCTGCGCGGGGGATCCCGAGGCAATCAAAAGTCGCCCTCGCATCGAGATTATTGACGTGGTTACGGTAGGAACCCTATCTATCAGGTGGCATCTCTTCAGGGTGATGCTTGTCTACACTCCTTTGGACAAAATGTTTATTACTGAAGGGAGGTGCATCACCCCTAGCTAACCTTCCAGCCTTACTTCAGCTCGGGCACATTATGAGCCACCTCATCCAATGTCGGAGAACTGCAACGCGAATCCAGTTCGACACCCTCAGAGTCCTGAACCTAGATCACAACGGAGTGACGAAATTTGACATTCCCACACGTGAAGCACCACAGAAACCAGAGTCCACGCCGTTGCAAATCCAGGTCCACGCTAGTCTCGGTTCAGCATTCAAGCTTTGAATCAGACATTGAAGAAAATTGCACAAGAACACTCCAGTTGAGTGCAGCTAGCGACGTACACGGCGGCTGCAAGCTCTGTACTGTGACGAGTTTTCTGTTCTCTCTGCTCGACTTGGATAGATCCGAGGTTACAGGCCCGGCTATCACCCACCTTCGGAACCGGCAGCTGCCATAGACGGTTCGAGCCTCGAGGTTCTTTCTTCGAGAAAACGAAAGTACAATGAGTTTACAGCTTTAGGCGGACGACGAGGAGGTCGCAGGCAGTAGATTTCTACGTGTCCACGTCTCATTGACGCTGCGTGCTCATCCAGTGGACGCGGTGCTGTATCTCGCGGATGCGCAGTCGGCGACCATTCATCGTCTTTAAAGTGTGGAGAAATGAGGAGCCCCCGGCAAAAGCAAGACTGTATGGAATCAAAGCATTCTTGCGTTATCCTTGCCTCCCTCGGAGCGAAGCCACCCTGCAGTAAGTCAGTCAGCCACCACAGTGTCCCTTCGAGCTCCATGTTCAAAGACCTGATGCTCGATAGCCCCAGGACTATTGAAGACAGTGTGGATCAGTGCCTTGCAGCTTTCAGAAATCAATCCACATCAGTTTCCCATATTGTACATTTACCGGCTGCACGATCGACCCTTCTGTCTACTTTCCGCCAGTGATTCGAGATCGTGTGAGATCGAGAAGCCAAGATCGGGTGAAATCAATCGAAACCTCTACATCAAGCACATTACCACATGCAATCGTACTCCGTATACTGTACAAGATAACTACTTGTCATTTACTCTTCGTCTTTTCCCCCTAACAGTACCTTCCGCATCGACGAAACTACGTATTCTGTAAAGAGGTGTGAAGAATCCGACGATCCGAGATCTAATACTCCTCGGGAGTAGGAGAATCGATAGCATGATCTAGACAGAAGTCCCAGTCGTCGGGGGACTTTGCGTGTTGTGTGGATCTATGGCCACTTCCGGGGCAAATGCTTTGCACCGAGAATTATGATGATGACGATGACGATCGATGATATTTTTCGGGTTCGAGGGCCAGACTATTACTAAGGTTCTTGCACATATGAGTCCAATTCTCTGTGTGCACTTCTCATGCTTGAAAGACGAAGGTGCCTTTCCACATCACTCACACTTGGACCATCTTCTTTCTCAATAAAGCATTATCGAAGAAGTTCTGGTTTGTCCAACTTCTGCATTTGTTCGTCACATTCAGAAATTTTAGCTTCAAGTAAATAATTCCTCATCATTCTAGAAAGACCTCCACAAGGCGACGTTGTACTCTGTACTTGTTCCCCGTGATGAACCAGCTATATTATGATTCCATCACGGGAGACTTTGAACAGACACCAGTGTAAAGCGTTAAATATCTAGATTCATAGTAGTCATAGTCATAGAAAAGTGATGTTCTTACAGACTGCAAGGACGTTGATCGTCGCTCCAGATTAAATTTTCCTAGATTATATTCTTCAAGAATTAGTTGTTGTGTGAATAAATAATCATAACCATCCCTTCTAGAAACAAACCAGTCTAAACGATAGCTGGCTCAATGACTAGATTCCACATTGCATTTAATTTAGATGTTGTAACTTATATCTCAATATAGCTCATAGATAGTTTGAAATTTTTATGTCTATAAAATATGTCCCAAACTACTCCAATTTTGGAATGCAAATTATGCTACATTGAAATGAGTACACTCTCATCGTCCAACTGTTCATGTTGATAATATATATATATATATATATATATATACACTACAATATTATCATCACTTGTAGTGTTGCTTCAGTTTTGAAATCTTGTCGACATTCTCCTTGGAAGCGATATCATCAACTTTTTGTGACATGTAATTGAGCATCAATTCAAATTGATATGCAAGCATAAGGATAATATCCTTATGCTTGCATGTCATTTTGAATTGATGCTAGTTGATTATAGCATCATCTAATGAGCAGTCGCTTCGATCAATGTCTTGATAAGGATGATAATTGATAGTGCTATAAGATAATTGGCTCCAGTAATCAATGAGGTTGAAGTATATTATCCTGTATATATTTTTAACTCAAAAAACATAAAAGTATGCGTTGGAAATTCAAACGAGAAAAAATGCAAACAAGCAGCCGACATGAAGAATAGGTGTTTCACTACCTCCTACTAAGTCCACCGGGACACAACAGGCTATACTGGCAAAAACGCTGATTTGCGTCACATGGTTTAAAACCAAATCACAAATCATAAAGTGAAGAAACCAATAGGCGAGAGAAACGGACATCACCCAACTAGTTTCAATCAAAACTTGATTTTAACTCCCGATATTGTGATCCCGATTTGAAATTTGTTCTTGGATTGCTATAACCTCAAATATGTATTAGACAATAAAAAAACCAATTAATTTCAAGTAATTAATATATAGCTTGATCAAGTAATGAAAACATTTTATACAGAAAATAAGATGACAAAAAAAATATCTTGGGGATAATTCTAAACATTACAATTAACTGCAATCTCTATTTCTAAGAAATATGATGCTTAGAACATAAGATATGCAAGATTATTTTTCACAACCATTTAAAACTCATTTCAAAAAGTATCATCTTGGATGGTAAAATAATGATTTTCATTATTACAAATACACATATTTTTTAGTTAGAATTATAATTTGTATATTCAAATTTGATGTTCCAACATTTTTCATCAAAAAAATTGAATATTAAAATAATTATATTCAATTATATTGAATTAAAAATTTTGAAAATATTAATAAAGTAGATTAAAATACGACAAAAATTGATGATAATCATTTCAAAATTTTCGATAATTTACATATATAATTT